GAGTTAAGTTCCACAGGACAGAGCACACTCTCTCAGAACCCAACAGGAGAGCGCCCTCTGATCAGCTCCTGCATTTCCCTGGCCTGACCCATCCCAACTGAGCCACTGAAAATCAGGCCGGTCTCTGAATCCACATTTGGTCTGGAAATAAAATGCCACACAGCTCTAGTGAGTGGTTCTGGAACAGAAAACTAATCCAAGAAAGAGCACAATCCTAAAGAGAAAACAAAACGGCGCCCAGAGCCACGCCACGGCGGCCCGACCCGAGGCACTACCAGCTCGCCCGGCAGACGGCCCGGCAGACGGCTACCGTCGGCGGAGGCAGGCCTATGTGCTCCTTCCCCACCCCATCAAACTGCCCAGCGCCCCCGACAGGAGGAGGAAAATGCTTTTCTCCTCCCAGAGCCGGCCTGAATTCTGAAAGCAGCGTGGCCAGAGGCCCCCTTTAGATCCCCACGCCGACAGCCCAACACATCGTCCCACCAACTGGCTGGCCTCACCCCCTGCAAACAAGTTCACTGGAAAAACTAGAGAACCCCGTGTATCAACACCCTCAAACGGACTGCCCCCTGCCTCCAATGTTCACAGTGGCGCCGAGGGACCCGTCCCCTTTCCAAGACCCTGCCGTTTGCCCTGCTCTCCACACACATCATGCCCAGTGCCCCGTGACATTCCCAGTCACCTTGCGGAGGGCTTTCCATGAAGGATCAGGAGCTCATCCAGAAGACAGGAATTAAGCGCTGTTTGTCTCCCCTGGGCATAAGCCTTAGAGCCAGCAAGGCTTATTCTTTTAGTTTAGTACAAAGGTTCACTGAAAGAAGGGTCATTTCAAAACTGGAGCAAGGTATACGCGGGAACAGGTGCAGAGCTGCTCCATGGCACATTTGAGAAGCGTATCGAGGGGGGCTGCCCACGAGCAGCATGGCCAAGCTCAAGTGCAGAGGCTGTGTGAGAAGGAAGACAGCAGACGACAGACATGCCAGCCGGGGCAGTGGGCACACACCAGCGCCGGCGAACTGCAGACCCCCAGAGGATGGATGCCAGGACGGGCAAGAACACCCAGGAGGGTCCCCAGGGAACAGAGCTAATGCCGTCGGGGACCCAGAAGTGTCCAGCTCTGCCCTGAACTAGCATGCCTGGGCTCAGAGGCGGCTCACTCGCTTAGGAGCCGCGGGCCTGGGACAGACGCAAGCTCGGCAGCACCGTCTGGGCAGACGGGAGCACACTCGGGCAGGGCTGCCACAGGGCCTGGTTCGCGGGCTCCCCGGCCGGCTGTGCGAGCCCCGGCAACAGCATCTGCAGCCCTTAGTTCACGTGACTGCAGGCGGTCCACACTGTTCTAACCACTGACGACCACGGGCACCCACCTCTGTGACCCTCAGCACTCAGGCTGGAATTGCCATGGTAACCCCCAGAAAAGAGGAAACAGCATTTCAGAATGGGGGAACACAAAGACTAGGGATACTCAAAATGAAAGTCCCCCAAGCCCAGGGCCCCACAGACGGGAAGAACCCAGGCTGCCCCATTCCCTCTGGGCCTCCCAACCCCTCCGCCTCTGGCCTGTGGAGGGAATATCAGGGTGAAATTAGAAGAAGCTGTTCCTCTCCTCCTGAAGAACCCCCACGCTGTGCAAATCCGAGCGCACGAGAACCACGTTCCTGACCCCCAGGCCAGAGGAGCTGGGCGAGGGCCGAGCCCAGGGGCCAGCAGTGGGAGCCAGCTCTGCCACCCACCCACAGCCCAGGCTTCCGGGTCTGCAAACCCCCGGCCGCAGGGAGGGCCGACGGTGCGGCGCGTGTCAGGACCCCGGCAGGAGAGAAGCAGTCTCGAGCGTGCAGTGTCACAACAAGGCCCACAGTGCCTCGTCCGGGGTGTGGCACAAAACCCTGCCCCAGGACGTCTGTCCGCAGCCTCGCTCGGCATTGTCTGCACTCCCAGGGCCCGGCACAGGGCCATCCCGACACCCGGCTGTCTGCAGGACCCCCCTGGTGGACCCATGCTGCACCCCGAAGGGCCTGCAGGGCCAGACTCCAAACTGCACATGTCTGAGCACCAGGAAGCTGAGGAGCGGTTAGAGACAGAGCTGCTGGAGCGGCCAGGGCGGGGCGGGTGTCCCATACTGGCCCCGGTCACTGTGCCACCGTCCTCCTCCGTGCTGCACGCAGGCAGGGCTAGCCCAGGGCAGTCCGGGGAACAGAGAAACAGACGTAGGCTCCCAGGGCACTTTGACTCGTTCCCACCCGTGACCTCCGACCATGTCTTCACAGCCCTCGGGGAATGGAATACTTGCCCCTGCTCTCAGTTTAAAAAAAAAAAAATGTTTAATCAAAATCATCAGGGATTTATTTATTTTAATCATTTCTGTCCTCACTTAAGATTAACCCATAAGAGTCTAGACTTGCTACATTAGACAAATGTGTAAAAGAGAAAAAACATGATTCACATCAAGTTCATCTTTCAAAATGTTTCCAGACCAGCTAAAAAGGCATTTAGTAACATCAAACAGGACCACCAAGAAACAAACAAGCAAGAGGAACTGTGTGCATAGCAAACCACCCCCACCCCCACCCCCGGTGCTTCCAAGGCGCTGGCACAGTAAGACCAACTCCACTTACAGACGGAGCCCAGAGAGACCCGCTCGCACAGGACACAAAGACCCACCCGAGAGACTCCCGGGCTCCTCGCAACACGGGAAGAGAGGAATAAGCAGGCACTCCGTCCAAACAGCCACTTCAAAAATACAAGCAAGGAAACAAACAGGTTTCTGAAAACACAAGAGCAAGCTGGTCAGGGCAGCAGATCCGAGCTTCCGGAAAAAGAGGCAGGGCCTCCACCTGGTTCCTGGACCCAAGGAGACATGAGGAAGAGCCCTCCCAGTGCTGTTCCAGTCCTTCGGGACTAAATGCACTTTGCAGAGGTGGGCGGTGAGGGGCCAGCCCACCCGGGAAGACGGAAGCAGGTGCCCTGTCCACATTCAAGGGCAAGACTCTGCAGGGTCAGGAGCACAACCCTTCCCATCCAACATCCCTCCTGCACATTCCTCCAACCTTCCTCCTCCCACCTCAGGGTTTTTCTGTGGCTGCTCTAACGGTCCTCCACACAAAGCCTGAAAGACACTTATTATCTTAAATCTGGAGGTCAGAGTCCAAGGCAGTTCTCACGGGACTAAAGTGTAGGTGTTGGCCACTGCACTCATTTCTGGACGCTCTGGGGAGAGTCCACGTCCTGCTCATGCAGGCTGTTGGCAGAATCCAGTTTCCTGCGGTTGTAGGACCGAGGTTCCCGCCGGCTGCAAGCAGAAGGCCACTCCAAATGCTGGAGGCCACCGCACCCCCCGGCTCATGGCCCCCGCCTCCACTTTCAGAGCCAGCGACAAGACAAGCGTCCATCTGCTGTTGATTCTGACCACTTTTAAGCGCTCACTCCATTCTACTGGACCCACCAGGCCACCCAGGAAAAGGTACCACCTCAGGGTCAGCAGATCTGCACCTTCCACTCTTTGGCCATGTGGTCTGGTTCCAGGTTCCAGGGATAAGGATGCAGACATCTTTGGGGTTCATCATTCTGCAACCACGCCCCATCCCTCCGGCCAGAACCCTGGTGATCGCCACCCTTCAGTGCTTCGTGGCGGCCCTTTTCTATGGCCTTCCGAGCCCTGCCCGCCTCCCACCCCTCTTCTCACAAGGCTCCCCTCCTGCCGTCCTCCTCCCCAGCCCCAGGGTCCCCGCAGCACCCTTCCCCTGCCAGGAGTGCTCTGACGCCCACCCCGCATCTCCGCATCTGTGCATCTCTGTGGGCTGGCTCCCTCTCCACCTACAGGTCTCAGGTCAGGCATGACCTCTTCTGGAAGGGCATGGCCTTCCATTGACACAGGGTCCTGTGCTTCTGCCAATGCCCCCAGATGATGACCTTCGAAGAACATACCAATGTGCTTACCGTCTCCCTCACCCCAGCAGCCTCTGAGAGCCACATCTCTTGGCTCAGCATTCAGCACGGGACCTGGCACACAGAATGCGTTCTGAACGAATGAACTGTCCCCCCAACAAGTCCTCCCCTCAGCTGATGAGTGATGGTGGCCTGTTACAATGACGGTGGAGCTCATGTCTCACCTGCTCGGAGACTCCTCGGGCTGTGACCGCTGGAAGCTGAAAGCTGTCGGAGCCACAACACCATGAGCTGTCTTCTCCTCCAGCTCCACCCCAAGCACCCACAGCCTTGCCGATTCAATCTGGGCCCTTCCTGCCTCCATCCCGCTCACAAACGTCGCCCTCCACAGGCCCCACCGCCCGCACGGCCTCCTGTGCGCAGCGCTCGCGGCCCCGGCGGACCCACGCCGGAGGGCCGCCTGCGCTCGCACCGCGGTGGGCGGTGACTTCGTCCTGCCACTGACAGCTAAGTGTGGCAAGAGTGCCACCCACAACTGCAGAGAGCAGCCGCCCCTCGGAGCCAAGTGGGTCACTGGCCCAAGAGAGAACCAGCCCCAGAGAGTCACAGACTGAACGCGTCCTGATCCCCATCACCCGCCCTCTGATTCTCGCAGCACCACCATCCTCTCTCACCGGGACGTTCACCACAGCCTCCGAACTGGTCTCCCTGCGTCCGTCCTTCCCTCCCAGCCCCTAACCTGCCATCCACCCAGAGGCCAAAGGGATCCTGCCACACCTCTCCTGCACCCCGAGCGGCCCCTCAGCGGCCCCCGGACTCCCGAGCCCAGCGCCCAGAGGCTCTTCCGCCTGCTCCCGGAAGTCCCGCCTCCGCGCGCCCGGAAGTCCCGCCTCCGCCCCGGCGCGCCGGACGCAAGGCGCGGGCGTGACGGCATTGAAGGGCGACGCCGGGGAGGGGTGTGGCGGCTGCGGGGCGGGCGGCGGGGGTCCGTGTGTCGGCGGCTGGCTGGGGCCCCCGTCCGCCTCTGTGCTCTGCCGCCGGGCGAGGCGGCGGGAGGGCCCGGGGCGCGCGGAGGCAGCGAGGGGCAGCGGGGTCGGCGGAGCGGGGGGGACGCCTGGGCGTCGCGGAACCCGGCGCAGGAAGCCCCCGGCAGGGTTTTCGAAGAGTCGGCACGAAGCGGAGCGGAGGGAGAGTCCGTCTACACTGGTGGGGCGCCGGGCGGCTCCGTCGGCCCGCCGTCTGCCTTGGACTTGGGTCGTGACCCCAGGGCCCTGGGCTCGAGCCCCGTCGGGCCCCCCGCTCGGCGGGGAGACTCTGCTTCCCCCTCCGCCTGCCCCTTCCCGGCTGGTGCCCTCGCTCGCTCGAGAGCTCGCTCGAGTGAGTGAAATCTTTGAAAAGAGCGAGTCTGCGTTGGTTACGTGGTGAAATGACAGTTGCTGAAGTTATGTTTCGGTGTTTCGGTGTTTGCTTTTCTTAACTCGACGTAGCCAACGAAGATGTGGGGTGACGTGCGTGACTGGCGCTGGATTTCTCGTGGTCGCGGACCCGGACCGAGAAGCCAGGTCCTGGCCTTTCCCGACTGCAGGACAGTCCGCGGACGCACCTCCGCCAGTTCTCTCGTGAGACAAGAATTGGGCTGCATGTGTAAGTGTGCCCGTGCCCCTCGCTTACTGATGGGTAGCACTGATGGAGTTCTTGCCGCACGCAAGATCTGCGCCGGGTTCTTTACATGCAGTACGGCAGCCGTATGCCCACCACCCCCAAAGGCTGCCCCTCCCGGGAGAGCAGAATGGCTCGCTCACCTCGCGGACACCGAATTTTATGCCCTTTCCACAGGTCCTTGCGCCCACCCTGCAACATTTACCTGACTGTTTTTATGATCTCTGTGTCCACAGGTAGCTTGTGAGATCCTGCTCAGTGGGGCCGAGGTCTTCTGCCTCTGCAAGTGTGTGTTGGATGAATGACAACCACGGGAACTCTCCAGGGACCCCCTTTTGTCACCATAGAAACTCCAGGAATCTTCTCTTTGGTGTGATCTTAATGGATCCTTGGTGATCCCCAGCTGACATACCCTCACTAGATCCTCAGGGCTCCTTCGTTGCATAGCCTGATGAGCTCTTCCGGGATCCTGTCCTTACATGACCTCAGGGAATCTCCAGAGATCTTCCAATAAAGTTTCAGTGGATCCGCAGGGACTCCCTCCTGACACAGCCTCAGGCAGTCTCCCGGGATTCTCTCCTAGTGGAGCTCAGGAAGGCCCCAGGGACCTCTTCCCAATATACAGCCCCGAGGCCTCAGAAATCCTCTCAGAGACTGGCTCCTAACAGCCTCCGGGGTCCCCTGTGGACATCACTGGGGACCTCAGGGGTTCTGTGCAGCTCTTCTGGCTCATTGCAAGAATCAGCGAGGTGACGGAGCAAGATGGCGGAGGAGTAGGAGACCTGGATTTCGTCTCCTCTCAGGAATTCAGCTGAAGAGGGATCAAACCATTCTGAACACCTACAAACTCAACAGGAGATCAAAGAAAAGAAGAGCAACAACTCTCTCATCAGAAAAGCGACCACTTTCTGGAAGGTAGGACGTGCGGAGAAGTGAATCCGCGGCGATATTCGGGAGGATAGACGGCGGGGGAGGGGACTCCGTCGGCCGCTTCTGGCAAGTGATAGAACCACGGAGCACAAAATCGGAACTTTTAAAAGTCTGCTCCGCTGAGGGACGTCACTCTGGTGGCTAAGCGGGGGGTGGAACCCTCCGGGACAGTGTGGTCTCAGGACCCTCGGGGTCACAGAAAGACCGGGGGTGCCTGAGTGCAGCAGAGCTCCCAGGGATCGGAGCAGGGAAGCTGGCTGCAGAGGCGGAGCCCAGGCGCGGGCTCTCAGCTCGGGGTTGCCATTGACCGTGATCCGCGGCACAGTCAGGCCCCTGCTCCTCCAGCAGGGACCCAACAAGTGGCACATCCAGGGAGACTCACCTTCCTCCCCTGGGAGGAGCCGCGCGGAGCGCACCACAGGGATCGGCTGGGTTTGGAGACTCCACCCGGGGTCGGGTGCCAGAGATAGAGACGCACGGTCACAGGCCGGTTGAGCACGGAGTGCAGCTGCAGACCGGGGAGACGGGAGTGACTGACGGCTTGTCTCTGGGGGCTCACTGAGGAGCGGGGCCCGAGTTCTCGGCTCCTCTGGGGTGGAGATTGGGAGGCTGCCATTTTCACTCTCCGCCTCCAAAGATGTTCGGAAAGCTCGCAGGGAACAAAAGCCCCGGAGAGCAAACCCGAGCAGATTACTTAGCCGGGAGGGGGCAAGGGCGGGGCAATTCCGCCTCCGGCAGAGACATTTGGAAAACACGGCAACACGCCCCTCCCCAAAAGATCAGCAAGAACAGCCAGCCAAGACCAAGTTTACCGATCAATGAGAACGGCAGAACTCCAGCGCTAGGGGACTACTGCACATAGAATTCATGGCTTTTTTACCATGATTCTTTAGTCTTTCAGAGTTAATTTTTTTAACTGTCTTTTTTCTTTTTTTCTTTTTGAATTTTTCTTTTTCCCTTTTTCAACCAACATCTTATCAATCCCTTTTTTTAAAGAAACATTTTTATTTTTCATTTTTAGAGTCATATTCTATCCCTTCATAGTAGTTACCCGTATTTTTGGCTTATATATATAAGTTGTTCTCTCTTTAAAATTTTGAGATAGTTTCTTCTAACAGATTAAAATATACCCTAAATCTCTAGTATATGGTGTTTTCTATTCCCCTGCCTGATCACATCCTCTCTCTTTTTTTTTTCTTTTTCTTTTTTTCTTTTTTCAAATCCTCTTCTTTCTTTTTTCAAAAAACTTCTTATCAATTCCTTTTATAAAATTTTTTATAATTTCCATTTTTACAGTCATTTTCCATCCCTTCATCATATCAACCCTTATTTTTGTACATATATAAGTTTTTCTTTCTTCAAAATTTTGGGAGACACTTTCTTCTAAAAGACCAAAATACACCCCAAATCTAGTGTGTGGCACTGGTCTATATACCATATAGATGATATTTGATCACATACTGATTTTTCTTTTGTTGTTGTTGTTTTGTTTGGTTTGTTTTTGTTTTTATCTTTATCTTTATCTTTTTTTCTTTTTCTTTTTTCTCTCTTTCCCCTTCTTATCCCACTGCTTCAGGTCTTTTCTGATTTTTTTAGAGTATATTTTCTGGGGACGTGGTTACTCTGCTAGCATTTTGTTCTCTCATTAATCTATTCTGCTCTGCACAAAATGACAAGACGGAAAAAATCACCTCAAGAAAAAGAACAAGAGGCAGTACCAACTGCCAGGGACCTACTCAATACGGACATTAGTATGATGTCAGATCTAGAGTTCAGAATCATCACTTTAAAGATACTAGCTGGGCTTGAAAAAAATATGGAAGTTATTAGAGAAACTCTTTCTGGAGAAGTAAAAGAGCTAAAATCCAACCAAGTAGAAATCAAAAAGGCTATTAATGAGGTGCAATAAAAAATGGGGGCGCTAACTGCTAGAATAAATGAGGCAGAAGAGAGAATCAGTAATATAGAAGATGAAATGATGGAAAATAAAGAAGCTAAGAAAAAGATAAACAACTACTGGATCATGAGGGCAGAATTCGAGAGATAAGCGATACCATAAGACGAAACAACATTAGAATAATTGGGATCCCAGAAGAAGAAGAAAGAGAGAGAGGGCCAGAAGGTATAATGGAGCAAATTATAACAGAGAACTTCCCTAATTTGGGGAAAGAAACAGGCATGAAAATCCAGGAAGCACAGAGAACCCCTCTCAAAATCAATAAAAATAGGTCAACTCCCCGACATCTAATAGTAAAACTTACGAGTGTCATAGACAAAGAGAAAATCCTGAAAGCAGCTCGGGAGAAGAGATATGTAACCTACAAGGGTAGAAACATTAGATTGGCAACAGACCTATCCACAGAGACCTGGCAGGCCAGAAAGGACTGGCAGGATATATTCAGAGCACTAAATGAGAAAAATAGGCAGCCAAGAATACTCTATCCAGCTAGGCTGTCATTGAAAATTGAAGGAGAGATAAAAAGCTTCCAGGACAAACAAAAACTAAAGGAATTTGCAAACACAAAACCAGCCCTACAGGAAATCTTGAAAGGGGACCTCTAAGCAAAGAGAGACCCTAAAAGCAACATAGACCAGAAAGGAACACAGACAATATATGGTAACAGTCACCTTACAGGCAATACAATGGCACTAAATTCCTATCTTTCAATAGTTACCCTGAATGTAAATGGGCTAAACGCCCCAATCAAAAGACACAGGCTAACAGACTGGATTCAAAAACAAGACCCATCGATATGCTGTCTGCAAGAGACTCATTTTAGAACCAAAGACACCCCCAGATTGAAAGTGAGGGGGTAGAAAACCATTTACCATGCTAATGGACACCAAAAGAAAGCTGGAGTGGCAATCCTTATATCAGAAAAATTAGATTTTAAATCAAAGACTGTAATAAGAGATGAGGAAGGACACTATATCATACTTAAAGGATCTATCCAACAAGAAGATCTAACAATTGTAAATATCTATGCCCCTAACATGGGAGCAGCCAATTACATAAGGCAATTAATAACAAAAGCAAAGAAACACATCGACAACAATACAATAATAGTGGGGGACTTTAACACCCCCCTCACTGAAATGGACAGATCGTGTAAGCAAAAGATCAACAAGGAAATAAAGACTTTAAATGACACACTGGACCAAGTGGACTTCACAGACATATTCAGAACATTCCACCCCAAAGCAACGGAATACACATTCTTCTCTATTGCCCATGGTACATTCTCCAGAATAGATCACATCCTAGGTCATAAATCAGGTCTCAACCGGTACCAAAAGTTTCGGATCATTCCCTGCCTATTTTCAGACCACAATGCTTTGAAACTAGAACTCAATCACAAGAGGAAAGTCGGAAAGAACTCAAATACATGGAGGCTAAGGAGCATCCTACTGAAGAATGAATGGGTCAACCAGGAAATTAAAGAAGAATTAAAAAAATACATGGAAACCAATGAAAATGAAAACACAACTGTTCAAAATCTTTGGGATGCAGCAAAGGCAGTCCTAAGAGGAAAGTATATAGCAATACAAGCCTTTCTCAAGAAACAAGAAAGGTCTCAAGTACACAACCTAACCCTACACCTAAAGGAGCTGGAGAAAGAACAGCAAATAAAGCCTAAACCCAGCAGGAGAAGAGAAATCATAAAGATCAGAGCAGAAATCAATGAAATAGAAACCAAAAGATCAGTAGAAGAGATCAACGAAACTAGGAGCTGGTTCTTTGAAAGAATTAACAAGATTGATAAACCCCTGGCCAGACTTATAAAAAAGAGAAGAGAAATGACCCAAATCAACAAAATCATGAATGAAAGAGGAGAGATGACAACCAACACCAAAGAAATACAAACAATTCTAAGAACATATTATGAGCAACTCTATGCCAGCAAATTAGATAACCTGGAAGAGATGGATGCATTCCTAGAGATGTATCAACTACCAAAACTGAACCAGGATGAAATAGAAAACCTGAACAGACCTATAACCACTAAGGAAATTGAAGCAGTCATCAAAAATCTCCCAAAAAACAAAAGCCCAGGGCCAGATGGCTTCCCAGGGGAATTCTACCAAACATTTCAAGAAGAATTAATACCTATTCTTCTGAAACTGTTCCAAAAAATAGAAACGGAAGGAAAACTTCCAAACTCATTTTATGAGGCCAGCATTACCTTGATCCCAAAACCAGACAAAGACCCCATCAAAAAGGAGAATTACAGACCAATATCCCTGATGAACATGGATGCAAAAATTCTCACCAAAATACTAGCCAATAGGATCCAACTGTATATTAAAAGGATTATTCACCATGACCAAGTGGGACTTATCCCTGGGCTGCAAGGTTGGTTCAACATCCGCAAATCAATCAATGTGATACAATACATTAACAAAAGAAAGAACAAGAATCATGATCCTCTCAATAGATGCAGAAAAAGCTTTTGACAAAGTACAGCATCCTTTCTTGATCAAAACTCTTCAGAGTATAGGGATAGAGGGTACATACCTCAATATTATAAAAGCCACCTATGAAAAACCTACAGCAAATATTATTCTCAATGGGGAAAAACTGAGAGCTTTCCCCCTAAGGTCAGGAACGCGGCAGGGATGTCCACTATCACCACTGCTATTCAACATAGTATTGGAAGTCCTAGCCACAGCAATCAGACAACAAAAAGAAATCAAAGGCATCCAAATTGGCAAAGAAGAAGTCAAACTCTCACTCTTTGCAGATGATATGATACTTTATGTGGAAAACCCAAAAGACTCCACCCCAAAACTGCTAGAACTCATACAGGAATTCAGTAAAGTGGCAGGATATAAAATCAATGCACAGAAGTCAGTGGCTTTCTTATACACCAACAACAAGACAGAAGAAAGAGAAATTAAGGAATCCATCCCATTTACAATTGCACCCAAAACCATAAGATACCTAGGAATAAATCTAACCAAAGACACAAAGGATCTATACTCAGAAAACTATAAAATAATCATGAAAGAAATTGAGGAAGACACAAAGAAATGGAAAAACGTTCCATGCTCATGGATTGGAAGAACAAATATTGTGAAGATGTCAATGCTACCTAGAGCAATCTACACATTCAATGCAATCCCCATCAAAATACCATCCACTTTTTTCAAAGAAATTGAACAAATAATCCTAAAATTTGTATGGAACCAGAAAAGACCCCGCATAGCCAGAGGAATATTGAAAAAGAAAAGCAAAGCCGGCGGCATCACAATTCCGGACTTCCAGCTGTATTACAAAGCTGTCATCATCAAGACGGCATGGTACTGGCACAAAAACAGACACATAGATCAATGGAACAGATTAGAGAGCCCAGAAATGGACCCTCAACTCTATGGTCAACTAATCTTCGACAAAGCAGGAAAGACTATCCAGTGGAACAAAGACAGTCTCTTCAACAAATGGTGTTGGGAAAATTGGATAGCCACATGCAGAAGAATGAAACTGGACCATTTCCTTACACCACACACAAAAATAGACTCCAAATGGTTGAAAGACCTCAATGTGAGACAGGAGTCCATCAAAATCCTAAAGGAGAACACAGGCAGCAACCTCTTTGACCTCAGCCAAAGCAACTTCTTCCTAGAAACATCGCCAAAGGCAAGGGAAGCAAGGGCAAAAATGAACTATTGGGACTTCATCAAGATAAAAGCTTTTGCAAAGCAAAGGAAACAGTCAACAAAACCAAAAGACAACCGATAGAATGGGAGAAGATATTTGCAAATGACATATCAGATAAAGGGCTAGTATCCAAAATCTATAAAGAACTCATCAAACTCAACACCCAAAGAACAAAGAATCCAATCAAGAAATGGGCAGAAGACATGAACAGACATTTTTCCAAAGAAGACATCCAAATGGCCAACAGACACATGAAAAAGTGCTCAATATCGCTCGGCATCAGGGAAATCCAAATCAAAACCTCAATGAGATACCACCTCACACCAGTCAGAATGGCTAAAATTAACAAGTCAGGAAACGACAGATGTTGGCGGGGATGCGGAGAAAGGGGAACCCTCCTACACTGTTGGTGGGAATGCAAGCTGGTGCAGCCACTCTGGAAAACTGTATGGAGATTCCTCAAAAAGTTGAAAATAGAGCTACCATATGATCCAGCAATTGCACTACTGGGTATTTACCCCAAAGATACAAACGTAGGGATCCGAAGGGGTACGTGCACCCCGATGTTTATAGCAGCAATGTCCACAATAGCCAAACTGTGGAAAGAGCCAAGATGTCCATCGACAGATGAATGGATGAAGAAGATGTGGTATATATATACAATGGAATATTATGCAGCCATCAAAAGGAATGAGATCTTGCCATTTGCAACGACGTGGATGGAACTGGAGGGTATTATGTTGAGTGAAATAAGTCAAAAAGAGAAAGACATGTATCATATGATTTCACTGATATGAGGAATTCTTAATCGCAGGAATCAAACTGAGGGTTGTTGGAGTGGGGGATGGGGTGGAAGGGATGGGGTGACTGGTTGATAGACACTGGGGAGGGTATGTGCTCTGGTAAGCGCTGTGAATTGTGCAAGACTGTTGAATCTCAGATCTGTACCTCTGAAACAAATAATGCAATATATGTTAAGAAAAAAAAAAAAAAGAAGAAGAAGAAGAAGGTAGCGGGAGTGGAAGAATGAAGCGGGTGAAATCGGAGGGGTAGACAAACCATGAGAGACGATGGACTCTGAAAAACAAACAGGGTTCTAGAGGGGAGGTGGGTGGGAGGATGGGTTAGCCTGGTGGTGGGTATTGAGGAGGGCACATTCTGCATGGAGCACTGGGTGTTGTGCACAAACAATGAATCATGGAACACTTCATCTAAAACTAATGATGTAATGTATGGGGATTAACATAAGAATAAAAAAAAAAAAAAGAATCAGCGAGGTGACAGCAGGACCGAAGATGATGGAAGTAGAGTTCACAGAGAAAAAATGGACAGTAGTTAGTGACTGGCTGGATGCAATTATAGCATCTTAGATCGGTTGTCCCTATAGCTTGAGGATGCTTTCCTGCCTCAGGTCTCCTGGGGGAAGGAGCAAGACTGACACCAAGATTGATGAAGGCTTCAGGACCCACTGAGCAAAGAGTTAGTAGTGCCAATCAGAAACAGGAGAGCAAGGGGTCAGCCTGTTTGCAGCCTACGTTTATGATTGGTTTAGGATGACTTGGGTCAAGGTCACGGATGTAAGACCTCAGCCAAGCACGAGGTTAGAGGACAGATTAGTCTCCAGACAAGGAGATGGGAGGATCCGCCAGGGCAAAGTCACAGGAATAGGTCAGCATCATGGCAACATAATCAAAACACAAAGCCAAGAAGAAACAATCCCCAGAAATGGATTTTGGCTGGGGAGCTTGGTAAGGATAGGATGTAAAAGGAGCGTTTGGTAGAAGGCCAGGTGTATAAACTGAGTATAACATATGTACAGTCTAGGAATGGGATCTCTGCAGGCATCAAACAGGACAGATGCATGAACCAGAACGAATGAGTGGAGCACTTTGTATTTATTTGTGCAACAAATAATTTTTAAAAGATTTGTTTATTTATTTGAGAGAGGGCATGGGGGATGGTGGCAGATGAGGAGGGAGAGGAAGAAGCCAACTCCCCGCTGAGCGCGCAGAGCCCACACAGGGCTCAAACCTATGACCCCGAGATAATGACCTGAACCAAAATCAAGAGTCAGAAGTTCAACAGACTAAACCACCCAGGCACCCCTGTGCAACAAATAATTTTTTTAAATTTATTTGAGAGAGAGAGAGAGCACGAGAGGGGGAGGGGGGAAAGGGAGAGGGAGAAGCAAACTCCCCGCTGAGCTGGTAGCCTGACGCAGGGCCCGATGCCAGTAGCCCAGGATCATGACCTGAGCCAAAGGAAATGCTTAATGAGCTGCCCAGGTGCCCCAACAAACAAGAAGGTCACTTTCACTAAGATTTAAGCTAATGGAAATTAAATCCAAGGACATGCCATTTCACACATGACAGATGGGCTAAAACTTAAAAATCTGTCAATGCCAAAATTGACAAGGATGTGGATTTGTGAGCGGTGCAGAATGAACTGATTCACTCATGGTGGGAGTATAAATTGATTTAGTGATTCTCAACAGCCATCTAGCAATTTCTAGTAGTTAAGGATGCATATACTCTACAACCCAGCAATTCCACCCTTGGTGTGTACCCTAGAGCAGCTTGCCCAAGTGTGCAAAGACAAGAACATTCACTGCAACATGCTGCTTTTGCTGGCAGCGGGGAAGGTCATCAAGTCATCTCTTGGAGAATTGGTAAATGATACATAGCTATCCAATAGGATGCTATATGGTAACAAAATGAATAAATTAGTTACATATATCAACACAAATGATTTTCACAAGGTTAAATGAAAAAAAAGTTGAATATGGATGCATGCACTATTTAATTCCATTCTTTTTTTTTTTTAAGATTTTATTTATTCATTTGACAGAGAGAGAGAGAGACACAACGAGAGAGGAAACACCAGCAGGGGGAGTGGGAGAGGGAGAAGCAGGCTTCCCGCGGAGCAGGGAGCCCGATGCGGGGCTCGATCGGAGGACCCTGGGATCATGACCTGAGCCGAAGGCAGATGCTAAACGACTGAGCCACCCAGGCGCCCCTAATTCCATTCTTTTAGAGTAAAAAAGAATGCTAAACACTAAATTCAGGAGAGTGGTTGCCTCTGGGTATTGGTGGGGACTTTGATCAGTAAGTAAGGAAGTCAAGGGGCTTCAGTTTTTTGATTATGCTTTATTTCTGATGGCCGAGGGAATGTATGCTGCTGTTGTTTTATTATTTATGACTTCTCCCATGTATAAAATGTTTGATTACTGCTGTGTCTGTGAGCACACTCTTGGAAAAGGATGAGACAATGAATGAGCAGCGTTCACTGAGAGGCGTGGAGGGGTCGGGACAATTGATAAGACCTGTGACTGTAGTTTAAGGCGAGCGGGCAAGATGGGACAAAATGCAAGGAGTGGCTCCAGGGAGAGGGAGCATCACAGCTGCAGCAGGGAGACAAAGATTGGAGCGCTGGGTAACAGGGGAGTCTTGGGCATGGCTGATCCTTGCGTGCAGGCAGCTTCTTGGGGAGGAGAGGTTGAACGGTGAGGGGCCACCTGGAGAGAGGTCCTGAATTGAGACCAGAGGGTGGAGCCTTTGCACTGTGCACAAACCAGTCATTGCACGGCTGTCCCCTGGGAGGGGGGCCCTGCAGCTGCAGGCAGCTCCTCAGAGGGACTTCTCTGAGCCATCAGCAGCTAGCACTCCCGGCCACGGAGGAAATGAGAGCCTTTGTCGCAAGGAGCGCATCTGGGCAACACACTGTAGCGCTGACTGCAGTCCACCTTGGCACCACTCGGATCCAGGAGCGTCACAGGGGTCACCACTGGAAGAATATCTCTAGGATTCTGCCTGCTTCCTTTCGTGGAAATTTACAAGAGGAAGGTTGACCCGATCTTGGAGCCCCTCCTCCTGGGTGGGGGAAGGCATGTCACTGTGGTGTTGGCTTGCATTTCCTACGATCTCATGAGGAAAATTGCCCCATGTGCTCACTGGGTCGTCTGACTATCTTCTTTGGAGAAATGTCTATTATTTTCACTGGGGTTGTTTAGGTTCTTAAGTTGGAGGAGTTTTGTACACATTCTAGATGCAAGACTCGTATGAGATTTGCTAATATTTCCTACCATTTTTTGGGTTTCTTTACATTCTCTTGAGATTACCCTTTCATTCACAAAAGTTTTTAGCAACGTTGAAGTCCAGTGTCTCTGCTTTCTCTGTTGTTGCTTGGGCTTCGGGTGCCATACAAGAGACACCATACTGCCGAATCCAAGGGAAGGAAGATCTGCCCCTAGGTGCTCTTCGTTTCCTTCTGAGTGTTAAGAATTTTCCCTCTTAAAGTTCATTCTTGGATCCATGTGGAGTTCATTTTTTATAGGGTGGAAGGGAATACTCTGACTTCACTCCTTCGTATGTGGATATCCGGTTTCTCAACACCGTTTGTTGGAGACACTGTTTTTGCCTCATTGAATGATCTTGGTCTCCGTGTTCGAAAACAACTGACTGTACATGTATGTATTCCTTGATTCTCAGCAGTATCCCATTGATCCATATGTGTTGGTCTTCTCTGCTCATACCTTTCGGGAAATATTATAATCTCGTACAGAGTTTTTCTAATTCTTAGGATTATTTGCATAGAAGATCATGTCTTATATAAATAAACTTTTTCTTCTTCCTTTCCATTTGTGAGCTTTTAGTAACTAATCTTGTATAATTTCTCTGACCAAACTTCCATGACAATATTGAAATGAAGTGGTGGACATGGGCATCCTTGACTTTTTGGGGATTTTAAGGAGAAAACTCTCAGTCTTTCACCACAGAGAATGATATACATATGAGTTATTTTTCATAAATATCCTTTATCATCATTTTTAAAGAATTATTTATTTATTTATTTATTTATTTATTTATTTATTTATTTACTTGAGAGCATGCAAGCCCAAGAGTGGGGAGGGGCAGAGAGAGAGAATCTCCAAGCAGACTCCCGACTGAGTGCAGAGCCCTCCCTAAAGCTCAATCTGAAGACTCTTGAGCTCATGACCTGAGCCCAAACCAAGAGTCGGACACTCAATCCACTGAGCCACCCAGGAACCTCTCCTTTATCACAATTTAACCTTCTATTTCTATTTTATTGAGAAAACTTGTTATGAAAAGGTTTGGATTTTGTCAAAGCTTATTCTACAACAATTGACATGATCATGTTTCTTCTGGATGTGGTCTAGGACACTGATTAGCTACGTTGAACAGCCTTTGCATTCCCGGTGTAAATCACACTTGGTCATGATGTAGAGTCCTGTCAATGTGCTGCTCGATTCTGTCTGCTAGAATTCTGTTGAGGATTTTTGCCTCGCTCTTCATAATGGATTTTGGCCTGCAACTGTCTTTTCTTGTAAGGTCTTTGTCAGTCTTTGGAATCGGGACAATGCTGGCATTCTAGGGTGACGTGGGAAGTGTTCCCTCCTCTTGTACTTTTTTCAGACTTTCAGAAGGATTGTCTTCTTTAAACGTGTGGGACAAATCACCAGGGAAAGCATCAGGTTCTGGACTTTTCATTCTTGGGAAGTTCTCATGACTGCTTCAGTCTGTTTACTTATTATAGGTCTGCTCAGGGTTTCCATTTCCTCTGGAGTCACTTTGGTAGTGTGTGTGCTTCTCAGAATGATCTGCTTCATCTCAGGGAGCCAATTGGTTCGTATAAAGTGGTTCCATTTTTGTCTCTTTGTCAATTTTGGTAAATCTGCAAAAGAAAGAACTGTTGTTTTCACTGATTTTTCTCACGTGCTCTTCTCATCCATTTATCTCTGCCCTAATCTTCATAGTTTCCTTTGCTCTACTAACTTTGATCTTCTCCTTCGACTGAACCAGAGGAGCCTTCGAACTGTTCCAGATGCCAGCCAGCCAGAGGGCCATTGTCTAGGTCTGGCTTGTTGGGTAGAGAAGCAATACAGACTGGAGTGGATCAGGCTACCTGGGCAATTTCTACCTCACCTGGCATTCCAGGTCACCCCCAGACCGTCATTTCAGGCTGAAGCTCTCCTCCTGCCAGGCATGATGCCCAGCAACAGACTGACCTGACTTCCCATGAACCACTCACGACCTTAGGGGCCTTCTGTGCTCTAGGAACAAGCAGACTAGCTGAATTTTGCCAAGGAGCACTGCCCATGAGCAGAAAACCTGCATAGCTCAGGGCACTGTCTTCTGTGTGCTTCCTTCACACCTTCCCATGTGTGGGTCACAGCCACCTGTGCCCATGGACACCGTAGAGCACCCATTCACCCAGGGTGTCGGATCAATGCAAAGTCAGCCCTTCAGTTCTGCCACCACACCCCCAACACAACACCCAAGACCAAAAGGAGCGCTCACTCCAAGTCCTGGGACCAGCTCAGATGCAGCCCCTACCTGCACAGCAGGGACATCGCCTACCCGCTCTGCATGCTCCTCCAGCCCGATGGAGATGTGGACGACATTAGTGTGGGTTTTGTCCCAGGATCCCTGATGGCCAGGAAAAGGAGGTGACTGTCCCACCCTTTCTCCCTGACAGACATCCCTTCCTGGAGCCTGGGTCCCCACTCCACAGCCACAAGGGGCCAAGAAGACTCAGTCTCTAGAAGCTTCTGGGCTAGATGCTGACCGGGGTTGCCTTACACAGTCTGGTGTTTCTGCTGGCCTTGCCGTTCCTCAAG